TTTGCCAAAGGTGGAAGGGCCAAAAAGAGCCTCCAGCAAAGGCACTCAGAGAGATAAGTGGAAGCGTTCCCATCTACACATTTTGATAGACGTACGGCGGAAATTTGAAAGCGTATTCTTAGTTTCTCAATGTTTATTGAAACAGACACAATTTGTTCTCGTTTTTTTCAACCGTGAATTGTCGATCGAGAGCCAGTGATTTGCGGCGAAATAGAAATATTTTCTCGTGGACAACTCTTTAAGAAACAGCACTCTCTGAATTGAATCATTCAATTGATCTTACTGTTCAGTTCGCACGTTAGCGATGAAGTCGTACTCTCGTCCCTTTGGATAGTACATATCCTTCTTGGCAACGACTCCACCCTCATAATAAGAACCGGCTGTGACGAGGTCTGTGCCAACATAGATCTTATTCGGTACTTTGATTGTACAGCACCTCAGTAGGACGCTGTAATAGTGTACGATTAATTTTGCAGAAGAAATAGAGTCATACCTGGCGCCATACCTTTGCCCATTTGGTGCCCAACGCATTCCGGAAAAGACATCCGTATCGGCACGACAGCTTGCCTGATCTTGAATGCATCGACGACCAACTTCTCCACAAGGGATCGGCCCACACTCGGCCTCAAGGGTACCGTCTTCGAAGACCGTGATCCGGGTTATTGCCTAATGAAATTGGAAGGTAATTCGAGCGATGAATCTGGGTCACGAAAGTGAGAGCAGTAGGCATATTGACCGAATGTCCGAAATGAGGTTGTTCGTCGGTGATAAAGGGGAGCGACCCTTACTTTCAAACGAGTAGCTGCCCTCCAACCCAGACGAATGAGCTTGGGACTTGGAGATATCATGCATATATGGCCATACCCTGAAGTCAACAGTTTTTCTGGTAACGACTTCATTTTACAGTAATTTCCAGTCTATCTTATTACCAGTACTGTCGTAGGGAGAAGCCAGCCTGTACCGTAGTGGTCCCAATTGGACTATTTTCCGTTGCAGTAATGGAGATTGGCTATCTAAGGATAGAAACCTTCAAAACAGTACGTCAATAGTGTGAAGGTTTGATGAGTGAAGTCTCCAAAAGACTGAAAAATAAAAAGGTTGGAACCAGGGTCAACCCTAAGGGTCGTACCTGGTTGAGTTTATAGGAGGGGGGGGGGGTCGTATCCGCTTCAGTCGCGTGAAATTACATGTGAGTTTGTGGTGAAAGTGGAGTTTTCACGAGTAGTAGGCTAGGTGAGTTGGGAGCGCACGGGAGAAAAATTCGCCGTTTCAGCGCGCGTATATACCCCCGCTCGACGGCATTTTTGGAGGAAAAAGTGGGCGGAGTTTGGTGGGTTGAGTGGTATCAGAATTAAATACTATAGGGACGATGATGGTGGGTCGAGGTGAAAAAGTAACAACGATAGGAGTGACCCTGGTTGGAACTGCAATAGGGTCAACTACTGCGTTGGGCATAGCATTTTTGGAAAACCACTAGCCTATTCATTTCCAGAAAGGAGTTCGCGTACAAACACCACTCAGTACCTTCTATGATCGGTTACTACGAGTTATAAATTCGATACATCAAAAAGGGCACTTTTGAAAAATCCAAGATAACAGAAAAGGAAGAACGAAAATCCTTGGGGCATGCAAATATTCACATTTTCAGTTGCTCAGGGTCATCCAGTCGGGAAAAGGAGTGGAGCGTCATAGTTTGGAATTTTCCTTTGTTGAATGGTGATTAGACGTACTAGGAAAACTGATATAATAAAAAGGGTTTTTGCTCAAGCATAGCAGAGGGGTACTATTCATCGCGCAGTCACAATTCTACGCCCATAGCATCTTTCTCAGATGATTTTGAAATCGAGGTAAGTTTGTAATCGAAACACCTCCCCATTGCTAAAAAGTATAAGCATTTACGCATCACGTTGACAAACCATGTGGTACGATGTCATACCACACTTTCGCATTGAGCAGACTGGTTTTCCTTATTTTATTTGGCGTTTTTTCCTGTTCCACAACGATCCATGTACATTACATACAAAAAATGTTGAAGCAGTGCGCGCATAACGGCGGTCGTCAACGTGTTAAGGTTCAACTCTGTGAAGCTGTTCATAAACCTCATGCAGAAATTTGTATTTCGTAATAACTACCCTCCATTTCGGTAAACGAGAAGAGCTTCGAGTGCAGACCACACACCACAAGTGACGACGGCCAAGAAAAAATGGCTTTTTCTTTTCTTTTTCTTGGCCGTCGTCACTTGTGGTGTGTGGTCTGCATTCGACGCTCTTCTCTGTTTTCCGAAGTAGATGGTAGGGAATTTCCTCAAAAATTCTGTACAGCCCCTTCGGGGAACCTCTTGACGTCTCTCGAACCTGATCTTCTTCGATGGAACAACAAAGTCATTGCATTGATCGAATTTGTTCAGAAAAGGGCCACGCGCTGAACATTCAGTGACATACTGTACAAGTCGCGATTCCCATCCTTATGGATGCAAACTGTTGATGCTCACTTCCCTTCTGATCACAGTAATCATGGCTCATTTCCTTCCAAATAGACAATGTATTCCCTGCGAAGAAATACTCGACGCACACATGACCCTTTCCTGAATCAACAAACCGAACCCGCATATTCGCGCAGTCTGACTTCCCGATATGATTCACCCTTTTATTTCACCTATTGTGAAAGCCGTTCGATCAGGGTATTTGAGTCGAAGAAGCGAGAGGAGAACATAATAGCAAGGGCGAAAACATTCGAGCGAGATTTGATGCTTTAAAAGGGGATTCCAGGATCAGAACGGAAGTCAAGGAATGTGAAATTGCCTAATTTGGAGACAGTCGGACCCTGACCCCCGACTCGCAATTAGCAGCGAAAGATTTGACCTCGGCGATCTAGCATGGCTCACTCTTGGCGCAGTTGGCGCGGTACGCCCACCGACATAGCAGAGAGAGCGTTAGCGTTGAAGAGGGCACGATGAGAGTCGCATCAATGCGGAAATCAACGGGCAAGGAAGGGGTCCCATTTCTCGGGTTCCGGGCCGTTTCTCATGGTTTCCTTCTTTCTTGTGTCACTGACCAGCTTAACTCAACTTGGGCTGTTGGTTTTTTTTAGCGTAAATTCCGCCTTAATTCTAGGAATATGGACTGTTATGGTCAATTTCAAGCGAAGGAGGTAAAGTTCGAAAACTTTCTACAGGTACAATTATTAGTTACTCTGAGTAATCAGTCCCGAAATCATCCAGGTGTGGCAAAGCTAAAAAAAGATAGTTTAAAATCTCAAAGTCATTAGTGTGGAAATCTCTCAAAATTCGGTTTCTCAAGGCAATGCCATTGTCACCATTATTTATTTACACACACATATATCCTACTATATATAATCGGCTAAGCGGTTGTGTGTGTGTGT